ACCCGTTCTATTATTTGTAATATGAATATTCATGCAAATATTCACAAATATAAACGAATCAATTAAGATATTTAATGAATATTCATTTCTGACCTCTAATATCATAATATCATAGCTGATCCTCACGTTTTATATGTATTAGTTTTGCTCTCTGCTAACATATATTTTATTTTTTTAAAATTTAAAATATTACGTACAATTTACGACTATAATAAATAAAGCTAATAATCACTAATATATTCATTTACATAAATTACATCATATGTAGAATCTGGACTTTAAAAAAAATAAGCACCTGTGGGTTCGGTAACACCAATTGATATTTCGATTTTACAGTACTTCATTACAAGATCTTTTTTTATTATTTTTATTTGCCAGCTCCCATTTATAACATTTTTTTGAACTCGTAATACAGTTATTACAAGTTAGATATATATTTTTTGATACCATCTTTTCATCATTAGAACTACCACAAGTATAACAAATACTAGGATAAATTTTAGCTGAGTAATATGGTTTTTCGATAGGAGAAGCATATGTCCAAGAGTCATTTACAAAAATACAGATAAAAAGCTCTTGAACAGGATTACTAATGACATCTTTAATATTGTTACCAACAAAATCAGATTCTGTATTAGTATCATCTTGATCACTTTGATTCCCCTCTTGATTGCTTTGATTCTCTTCTTGATCATCTCGATCCTCTTCTTGATCACCTTGATCCTCCTCTTTAGACACAACTATGTCATCAAAATCGACACTCTTCTCATAATCATTGCTCTCATCATCATCATATTCGATTGAAGACTCAGTTATTTCAGATGTAGTATTGTTGTAACGGTTATTTGAAGGTTCAGCTGATAATAGTATTGTTGAAGTTAACTCATTGGTATTTTTAAATGTCGTTCCACAGGTGTATAGAATTGTGTCTAAAAATTAACAAAGTATTTGACGGTCCTTATCTGATATCTTTCTTGTACTGAATAGAAGCCATGGTTTGCTGTATTCTGTGCAAGTAACAGTAATTCCTACATTTTTAGCATGTAATGCAGAAGGGCAAAATGGCATTGTGTGCTTTAATTTGTTTTGTTTTATTTTATTAGATTTTGATCGAAGCATTTTTTCTTGATATGAGGGTCTATACTTTTCAGTCATTATAGTGCCATATAGTTCTTTGAAAGACTTGTAATGTAGATCATTTCCTGGAATTGGATCAGGAAGGCAATGTAGTTGTTTAAAAATCTCAAGTGTACATCAAGGTAGTTTGCATATTGTACAATTATCCTTTCCAAATTTCTTTATTGTAAAAGAATAATGGCGAGTTGTATAACAATAGTTATAAAAGTTGTTCAAGTATTGCTTAAAAAAAAAAAAGAAGCATTATTAATTTTTTTATTTTTTTATTGACATGTTTAATCACTTACTCTTTGCTTTATGTGTTCTATTGTACTATCATTATAGGTTACCGTTTCATCAATCTGATGAATTACTTTCCAAAACGTTTCTATTTCTTTATACAATGCAGCATTAAATGTTTCAAACAGATTATTTTCAGACACTGCCTTTCGAATACCTCATGAATAAGATTAATAGAATTTTGAATACTTTCAATAAGCTTATTTTTGAATGTTGGGTTTGATTCTGTGATGTTCCTAATTTCTTTCATTGTATTTGCCTTACTTAAAAGTTTTTTATAATTATCTTCCATTTTACTACTCATTAACCCCATGCATTGTAATCCTAGATTAAGTATTGACATGACATGTTCAACAGGATTTTTCCATGAATGATACAGTAGTGTTCTCACTGCTACAAGATAATCAAGGTCAAGCTCCAGAAACAAACAAATATATGACATTTGAACTCTAACAAATGTGCATCTGTAATCAGGTCCACCATCTGTGTAGAGATATAATACAGGTTTGCTTGTTTCTTGCATTCAAAGAATATTATAAAGTTCTGTCATGTGTTGTAAAGAGGAGGAAGGTTGGAATATTGGATCCTTTAAGCAAATATTTACCTTTCCCGTGTAGAAATCACCATCAATTGTTTCTAGAATGTTACATAGCATTGTCACACTTGGTATCATATCAGTTTTGGTAAAATCATGATTGCTCACTGCAAATGTAGTATTTTTTTCAACTATTACTTGTTTACCTCTTTTCACAGTGGCTACTGGATACCCAGGCTCTCCAATTTTATATCGGTGTTTGTCATCAAGAAAAACAAGCATTGTTACATTATGAAATTTGATAGCAAATTCCTTCTTATACTGAAATAGAGCAGATGCATAATGTGCATCTTAGTGATTTGCAAGTAACTGCCAAGCTTGCACCATGAATTTCAATGGTAGACGACCTGTATACTGCAAACTATTTTTATGTGTTGGGTTCTTGTGCCAGAATTGTAATCTAAACTACTGTTCACTAGGAATTGGTGTATTAGGTGAACATTTTGATTCAATTTGCCGAAGTAAATCCTTTACTGAAATAGCTGTAGCAAGGTGTACAATTAAATTATGACAATGTTCATCAACTGCAGTGACTAAATCCGAAGCTCTTCCTGCAAGATAACTTGCCACTGTATCCCAAAATATTTTATATTTTTCTGACCTTCCTTCATTATGCTCACGTAAATCAATTACTATATTAGGGTCACCAAGTTCTAAAGCCAATCTTATACGAGCATCTACCTTTGCTTCATTTGCATATTCAGCAGCAGATATATCACCCGATAACATATGATAAATTGTTCACAATGGAGCTGGCTTTATTTTTGGTAATAGAAGATCACATGTACGAAAGTAGTTCATATGCATAGCACGAGTATGGTAATGAGGTGCATTATTTTGTAATTCTCTTACAATATGTGTATTTTCTTGTGCTATTTTTGTCTCACTTGCATTTTCATCAATTCTTCAAATTGAAATACTATTATATGCATTGTTACCTGAATTATAGCAATACTCACCAATCTTGAACATAAATGCTTGATGAAGATCTTGTATAAAACAAAATCATTGCCTAAATAAAAAAAATAGTAAGTAACTTACATATATTTTTAATGTGTATATTTGAATTACACACATTGGTTCTAATGGCAAATATTCTTCAATATTACATGGTTTCCAAAATGGAAGCTCATGTAAAACCTTTTCAAGTTCATAATATTTTATTTTATTTTGCAGGCTTATCCAAATACTAGGTTTATGAACTTTCATAGTTGTAGCCTGTTCAACATCTCGGACAAAAACTTCACTTTCATGATTAGTTGCTGTTATTTTTTGTTGTTTTTGCAAATAGTCTATATAACCAAAAATAACTAGAATAAGTTTATCAAATTCTTTAGATAACCAGGTGAAATTCAAAGATCTTATCCATAAAGATGTAGCAAATGGAATAAGCGATTGACAGTAAAGACTAAGCTCATTCGCATCAAATGATTTTCTGGCCTCTTTGTACGATTCTGGATTTGTGTAGTTCAAAAATTCATAAAATAAATGAGGAATATAGAAACTTCGATCTTCTAACTTTTTATGATCATGTATGTCTATATACTATAACATTTCTGACAAAATGACAACAAATTTTTTTCCTTGATTATCTGCAAAGGCTTGTGTCGACCAACTACTTTTATTACGTTGAATCCAATTCACTATGTCCAATTTTAATATCTGTTTGCGATTAGATTTTGCAGAATATGAAAAATTAGGAATATATAATTTATTATTACGCATTGCAGATTGCATAAGGATATCAAAACTATTCAGAGAACTAGTAGATGATTTTTCTTCATTTTGGAGATGATAATGAACATTTGCTCTGAATATACTGGTAAGTTCAATAATTTTGCATTCTGGGCTTGCCTGTATAGTTTCTGAATTTATTGATTGACTTATTTCAACATGTTTAACCTTTTCAAAATCTAAGCTAGTTTGTATATTTGGATTTGATATTTCTTTACTAATATGCTGAAAAAATTCTTTGATCATCATTTCATATGGAATCAGACAAATATACTATCTATACAAGACTTTAGACCCTTGTAAAATACGTAAATTTACGAAAGACATTTTTTTTTTTTTTTTTTTTTAGAAACTAATCAACTATCATGAAGATTATTCAAAGTATAGCATTTGAATTAGATGAATTTGAAAAGACAAAGTTAATTTTACGGAGAAACTTAAAAGGTAAAGCAAAGAACAGTTATCAGGTTATTTGCTAATTGAGTAAAAGATATCTTTAAAAATAACTCTTTTTATAATTTAGAAGAATCACTTCATTATATTGGGGCTTTGAGGCTATGCAAAGATGATTTTTCGTGGCATTTATTTATTTTATTTTTATTTTTTTTAATTATTAACTTTTTTATTATTGTGAATGTGATTTCGCTTTTAATTTTCACTCGTATAACTTAGCTTATTCTCTTTTTAGGATTCTTTCTTCATTGTTGCAACAGATTCTGAAGGGTGGTGTGCATACACACACTAGCTCCAGCCATAATTATTTAATAGTTTTATACTTTCGAATACATGCAAAAAGAAAATATTTTACAATTCTTCTCTTTTAGTTTTTTATCACATAGCATCGCCTTAAACCAGCCCCACTATTCTGGTTCAATTTTATACCAGCTTACATGATAAATAGCCATGCCCTAAACTACAAACAACTAGCCTGTGCTACAAATAATTAGCCCAACACAACAAATAATACTGAAATGAATAATTCTTTTTTAAATTAACACTTCTGAGTTGGGTCACATTTATTATGAGATCATTTGGTTACATTATAGCTGTTGATAATTATGAGTTTCACCAAATTAAACTCTTAAATACAAATTTAGTATTACTCTGAAAATATTATATAATTGAATCATATATTTGATTAGTATTCTTGCCATTTCAGAAACAACAAAATACAGCATATTAGCACTATGTTTTGATTGCTTAATATCAATTTTTCTGAAACTAAATATTTATCATTACAGAATGCTTATAGGCATGTAAGTTGATCTTTTTTGATGTTAACTGTAGTATGGCTTGTGAGGATTAGAAGTTTAATCACACAAAAAATTATTTTATAGTTTCAGAGCTGAATTGTGTTTATGGGCTAAGATATATGATTAGATAGTTAAACTGTTAAGAGCTTTAGAGTTTACTATGTTGAAAGCCACTACTATTAGAATAGCGACATCTAGGATTATATAATCAAATCTCTCTAAATGCAACACATAAAGACCAGACTTTTGTATAAGGGTCTGGTACATATTTGAATCAGAGTTAAAAGTTTCATTTAGAGAAGTATTTCATTCAGAATAATTGTATTTAGAATGGTTGCATTTAGAGAGATTTGGTTGTATTTTCTATTTGAATTACTTTCAGTTGATTTAAATACCATTCAGATGCATTTATTAGCAGTAGACCTTTGATTATTGGATGTTCGCCCTAGCATCATTTTTTATTAAGGTAACATTGCCTAATACTGTATGTACTATTGGCATGATCAATCTGGCTGATTTCTTATTAGCTGGGGCTGAGAGGGGTGAAGTAAAAGCCTTAAAACCTTACTCTACGAAATTTCAAAATATTTGGTTTCTGGTTCAACTGACTCTGATTTAAGTTTAGCATTCGGAAATTGAGCCTAAATCAGGTTCAATATCTGGATACTTAAATTTTAGTTTAAAATATAGAAACTGGCTTTTAATAAAATAAAAAAACCATAGTTTAAAAATTAAAATTATAGCGATAGTAAAAAAATATACAAATATACTATCATTAACTTTTTGAATAACATATTAACAAAAATTAATTATTAATAAAACCAAATCTATTATACTGTATGTAATTCACAATAAAAATTATTAAACTACAGTAGAAGGAAACGGATAAATTTAATGATCTAAGAATAATGTTAGCTTATAGAAAAAATAAATCTAAAGATGCTGGTGAAATAAAACTGGAATAGTGAAATTGGTGATGAAATTGGTTTTTACCAGCATCTCTAAATGAATCACAAAAAAAGACAAGAAAACATCAATTAACGACAAATGACTATATTAAAGAGGAGAACAGAAATGAACATACAAATAAAGAAACTAACATAAATTAGGAAGGACACTACTCTCACTACCTACAGTAATTCTGCTTGACTGAATAAGTATATGGGTTTAACATTATTTATACTGAGCTATAAAATAGTACTAATTTGACCTATTAAATAAACTTGGGCAAAAAATTCAGGAACTTGCTTTCGCATGTAATTTCCTTTATGTTTTGCCTAATCAATTACGATTCATAAATCACAGGGTTTGATATTACTGCAGACTGTAATAAATCTTGGAAATAAGGAATTTCAACAGGTTTTACATTTTGTAGGCGTATATATTAAGGATTTGTATTCTTGATTTACTTTTTTGATATTGCGTTTCTTTTGATAAGTTTACAAAAATTAAGGCAAATTGCATTCTTACAGCAAATATTACTGTAATAAAGAAATGATGATTATTTTAATTATATATTTATTATAAATCATAATTGTAATTTATAAAATTGAAAAGTATAGATACACTTAATCAGTAAATATGTCAGGAGTAAACCGGTTCGCCAAAAGGTGCTGGCAATAAATTTATTATTTATTATAGCTGTGATATATAATAAAAAATTATATATATATATAACTAAGATGGCAATGTGACCCAGAGATTAATATGTAGCAACAATTGCGCCAGGGCATTGCTCAGTTAATGTGACACAAGCTGGTGGTTTCCCATCTGCCTTAAGCAGGCCAGTCATTAAATGAATAACAGAATCGATCAGATTCATTTATTATTTTATTATTATTGTTATTATTATTTTTAGAGAGAGTGGGTGTTTGAGATGCAGAATTTTTTTAGCTAGGATTTATTTGAGGAGTTTGTAAGTGAAAGATATTTAAAAAAATTTTTTTTAATGAAATTTTATTTAAAAATTTTTATCATATAAAATATTTTGGCGGGTTCTGGGTTATAATTTTTATACTTATATTTTTAAATTAAAAAATTTTTAAATTTTTAAATAAAAACTTGGGTTGGCGAGTTGAAATATAAATTATATGTTATGAGAACCAAAAAATTTAGTTTGTATGGCCTAAAATAAATTTTTTTAAATTTAAAAAATTTTTTTTTAATCTAGGTGAGTTTTACTACTCTAGTAGGTTTAGGTTGCAGATAAATTAAATAAATTAGATAATAATTTCATCTATAATCTGAGTCTCATTCTTGTAAAAAATTTGTAAATTAACTTCGGCCTGTGTCAACTCATGTAGTTGCACATAACAAATTATTAATAAAAATAAAGGCAAAACCTTACCTTAATGCCAAAAAAAAATATATTTTTTTTAATATTAATAATGAGATCATGACTCTATTTTTATTGAACATTTAATTGAAATTTTATATAAAGTATAAATCTGATTTGGTTAATCTGACTTCACTGGTTTGTAATCCAGCCCAACCCAACTCATTAACAACCTTCCTCATACGCATCAATTTAAGAAAGAAAAAAACTTATTATATGAACAGATAATTTAATTAATATAGAAATCTATTTATACTTTAACCATTAACTTCTATAGCAAAAATATATTTGATAGCCAGACTGCTCTAAACAAAGAAGCTGTCTCAATTCTTTATATTTATTAGAAAATCATATAAATCAATTATCAGATATATGAATCACTAAGCACTAAAAACAGAAGTCGTGCAAATTCCTGATAATAACAATTCCAATATACATAACCCTGAAAAACAAAATCCATAGATATCAAAATCTTGAAATACTAAAATCCTGAAAATACAAGCTCTAATAGTTCAATATACTAAAGGTACAAAATTCTGATAAAGAAACATTATAAGTTTTAAATGCCAATTATTAGTGTTAGTAAAGATTTTTGAAATTTTGAATTTATTAGAATTTCCATTTTTTTGATTTTAATATTTCAAGATTTTAATATTTCAGGAATTTATCTATCAGAATAGTGTCATTGGAATTGTATGCATCAGAATTTTGTATAAATCTATAGGAACATGTAACTTAACTAAGACAAGTCCATTTGCCTATATCTAAAGAATCTCATGTCAATTATTTCACATTTTTGCAAAAAAAAGAGACAATTCTAACCTACCTCTCAGTTCTAAAATTCCAACATTCAAGAAACCATTATAATTGGACACACATTCATACTGACCCACTAGTAACACAGATCCTGAAAACCATCGATACAACCCATACTCATACATCTGTGAAGTAAAAAATAACATTACCAGATACTACCTTCTGTATATCAAATTCAAAATATGTACAAACAACTCTATGGACATTCTTTTCTGAGCAACTGCTCTTATTGAACTTTATGACCTAGCACATCTCAATGCACTCTTACCAAATAACAAAAGAGACAAAAGCAAGGTCTCAACGCTAATAGCCTATTTTTTGAAATGACAATAAGTATCACTTTCACCGTTATACAACTTTCAAGAACAAAGAATCACAAAACAGCAAACAGAATCTCATTGATCATCAACCTGACAAATGACACGTTGTGCCCAGTGTGCACTCTAAAAAAATATACACACAGGTGATTACAAATTCTTCCTATGCTAGTAATTACAAATTGCTTTTTGCTATTTGCTAAACATGACAGATCTTGGACACAAAGGTGTGATTCGTCATGAAACTAAACTACTTCCTTCCTAACGAGAACGTAGCAGGTCATAGCTTCTGAGCAGGAAGCATCCCTGAGCTTTTAACAAGATGTGACCAACTACTACTAATACAGAAAATTGGAAGAGGGAACTCAGAATCATTCTACTGACACATTTGAAACCACCCAGCCACAACTACCACTATTCTAGCGAAAGCTTACATTAATTAACCCTTGTTACAACTTCTGGAACCAGGATCCGATTAATTAATGTTAACATATATATATATATATTATAAATATAAATACACATACAGTATATAAAAAAAAAAAAGAAAGAAACAATAAAGAGGAAGCAAAAAAGAAAAGAAGAAAGAAAAAAGGAAGAAAAGAGAGAGAAAAGTAAAAGCAAGGTAATGGGAGAGCTAAGTTAAGACTTTCATGACAAAAAAAAAAAACAAGAGAAGAAGAGAAAGTAGTTCTAGTAGGGACTGGAACCGCCAAAAATTTCCTTAATCGTTTAACCGTTTAATTTTGCCGGTATTAAAATAATTCCTACCCAAGACCAACATAATTTTGCCCGGACTATGGAGCAATTTTTAAACGATTAAACGGTCCAATCACTAGACGCAAGTCCAAGCAACGAATTTAAATTACAATGCTAAGAAAGATGCTCAGTTCAAATTAGATTATTTCTTTATTTATTTCATATGTTTTGTTTGTTGTGTGCATTAATATTTGCGAACCACCACCTATATGATAATTGTTGTTATTCAATCTAGTCTGAATAACAGAATCATTCATGCTATTTGACAATCATAGAATCCTGTTATTCTAACAGCCTGCCTGCTTTAGCAGGCGGGAAACCACCGGCTGTATAACTGCACTAATGATGCTTATTTCTGGTCTGTTGCAATAATTTCTTGCACAATATTTATTGCTAATTTTCGGGATAATCTAGGTTTCGGCTCCAATTATTATCTATACGTTTGTTATTAATAAAGTTATTATTTCAGCTCTTTGCGCAGCCAGCACTACTCCATAACCTACAGGCGTGTCTTTTTGTCGAACATTTAATTAAGTCCTTTATTGTAAATTATTAATAATTGGATTCTTCTTAATTTAGGATATCATTAAATGGTAAATATCATTTACATAATTATATGTAAATCATCCAAAAAAAGATCAATTAAACTATTTTTTAAGAAAAGATCACAGGATATATACAATTAGTTGAAGAAACATTTTAAAGAAATGGATTATTTGCTTAGAAAATCACCAAGATTTTTCAATCAAGACAATTCGGACAAATTTAGACCAGAATAACCAGACTTTTATATATATTCAAATCATCTTTTACTTTATTGATTCTATAGTTTATCGAATAAGTTATAAAATTAATGAAGTAAAAGGTGATTTACATATAAATAAGAACTGGTACTATGGTTTAAGTTTGTCCGAATTATCTCAATCGAAAAATATCTAATATAATTTTAAAATTTGGATAGGTACATAAAAATTGATATTACAACTTGCTACATGCATTTGATGGTAATAAAAGCTAAATGATCATGCATTTATGATGATTTTTTTCCTTCATCGACCTATAAAAATGATTAATTGCAGATGTACAAAAATTTCAAGTAATAGAAACTTATATTAATGTCAAGTTTGAAATCCATTACGTATAATTTATTTATGAACATTACGTTTGCACTTTTCATATACAATTTATTTATATATTTTAAACTTTAGATTATTAGATTCTACAAATTCAATATGACAATGGCGAATATCCAATTCTTTCAGAGTATTGTTCTTGCAAAATGCATTTACTAATGCTTTTCCTCCTTCTGACCTAAAATTATTATAACTAAGATCCAAAGAAGTCAGCATGGTATTCTTGCAAAGTGCATCTGCTAATGCTTTTCCTCCTCTTAAGCCAAGACGATTACGATAAAGACTTAAAGTAGTCAGTGTAATGTTCTTGGAAAGTGCATCTGCTATAGCTTTTCCTCCTTCTGGTCCAAGGCCATTCGTGTTAAGATATAAAGAAGTTAGCGTAGTATTCTTGCAAAGTGCATCTGCTAATGCTTTTCCTCCTCCTGATCCAAGGTTATTGTCGTTAAGATTCAAAGAAATCAGCGTTGTGTTCTTGCAAAGTGCAACAGCTAATGCTTTTCCTCCTTCTGGGCCAAGGTTATTATGATAAAGACTCAGAGAAGTCAGCGTAATGTTCTCACAAAGTGCATTTGCTAATGCTTTTCCTCCTTCCAATCTAAGATTATTCGAAGCAAGATTCAAAGAACTTAGCGTGATGTTCGTGCAAAGTGCATCTGCTAATGCACTTACTCCTCCTGATCCAAAATCATTATCTTGAAGATAAAGAGAAGTTAATGTAGTGCTTGTGCGCAGTGCATCAGCTAACGCTTTTCCAACGTCTGATCCAAGTTTATTGTTACTAAGATTCAAAGAAGTCAATGCGATGTTCTTACAGAGTGCATCTGCTAATGCTTTTCCTCCTTCAGATCCAAGGTTATTATAATTAATATTTAATGAAGTCAGTGTGATGTTATTGCAAAGAGCATCTGCTAATGCTTTTCCTCCTTCAGATCCAAGATCATTGCCACAAAGATCCAAAGAAGTCAGCGTGGTATTTTTATAAAGTGCATCTGCTAATGCTTTTCCGACATCAGATCCAAGATCATTATAGCCAAGATCAAAAGAAGTTAGCGTGGTGTTCTTGCGAAGAGCATCTGCTAATTCTTTTCCTCCTTTTGATCCAAGTTTATTGTATTTAATATTCAAAGAAGTCAGCGAAGTATTCTTGCAAAGTGCATCCGCTAATGCTTTTCCTCCTTTTATGCCAAGATCATTACGATAAAGACTCAGAGAAGTTAGTGTGGCTTGCTTGCAAAGTGCATCCGTTAATATATTTCTTTCTTCTGGGCCAAGATTATAAAATTGAAGATTCAAAGAAAACAGAGCGGTATTCTTACAAAGTGCACCTGCCAATATTGTTTTATTTGTAGCGTTAAAAAGTGTTAAATGTTTAAGATTTTTACTTACTCGCAGAAACATTGTAACTAAAGAACATTTGATAGCGTTTGCAATTTCATCATTATTTTTTTCGACATTATATCCTTTATTTTTAAGCCAATTTTTAACTCCTTTGGCAAAATGAGAACCAACAGAAGTAGTATAACTTTCGTACTTGAATAATAATGGTCTTGAATGATTTGAAAGATTTATGTTAAATGGAATTAAGAGTGCTTGCTCTTCCCAATTTAATGCTGAAAGATATATTCTTATAAGTCTTTTATCACTTAAATAATTTGTCGGTTCACTCCATAATATTGGCATAATGATTCTGCACCATCGACGGTTAACAAGAAGGCACGAAAATAAGGTTTTATAATCAGTTTGAAAATTATTAAATATATCAAAAAGGCATTCGTTCGGTAACATCATTTTTAAAGAACTAATATTAATTTGAAATTTAGTAAGTATCTGTTCTATAACCATAATTTATAACGGATTTTGACTCCGGTATATATTACCTAATGTAAAATGTCGTGAAACGTTGCATCCAATAATAATAAGGGAAATCGTTGCACTAATTCTGTAGTCTAGTGTTACACCAGAATTACCTTTTATAATTTAGCAGAGATATGCTACCAATTAAAAACACAAATACCGTGTTTTATGCTTAAGAAATGTATATGAAGATACAAGTAGTCGTATAACAAGTTTATGATTTATTCAATAAAGTACTTGAGTTATTCGTGTATGAAGACACGATTGCTCTTTATTGTCAAGTTGTTGACTGATGAACAGAAAAATATTGGGACTATTTATGCATGATCTTGGATTATAATATTTTGCATCCTTCGATTATACTATCGAATAGTTAAGTGTAATCTAATAAAATAAATCATAAATATACGAAGAATAAGAGAAATAGTTGAATTAATAAAAATTGTAGAAATAGTAAAATTCTTGGCGTTTATGTTGTCACAAATTACGTATAGCTTTTATCACGAAATTAGTAAAAGTTTAAGGTCTAACATGTCTAACACTAATCAAATATTTGTAGAATAGTTATAGATACAAATAAGTGTGAAACAAAAAGGTTACAGAAAAATCTCAAATGCACGCTCTTGGAACTGTACTTAGAAAGGGCTTGCAATTATTAAAATAGAAGCAGAATAATATGCTGTAGAAATGGGCGCGCGTGAGGTTTTTAAATATTACGAAATAAGATTATCTGGCCGGCATTACCATAACATCTGGCTAGCATTAATATAATATCTTGCCTGCATTAACATATTTAGCTAATTAATTAATCCTATTGTCTATTGAACAAGCCCCCTGAGATTTTTTATCGTACTCGGGTTGTATTAAATTTTTTTCCTGTCATGTGATCGCCACTTTAATGAATCGTGATTCGCTTTTGGTTTGATTGGCTGTTTAGTACCATTTTATTACCTGAACTATTTATAATAGGTTCTTCGCCAAAATACCGAAAAAAAAGAAAAAAGGATTAGTGTTTAAAGTCCGGTAAATCTGGTCATGCCGCCAACTCACCTTATGATCGATTTGTTAGTATGAACGCGTAATTTATTTCATTCCGCTAATCGGGTTGCTTTTTTTTCATGTACAATTAACAGATTATTCTTTTTTTGGGTAGGCGTTGAAGTAAAGATGTTCCATTCTGTCAATCGGTTTTACAAGGCTGCAAACCAGTTTTACGAAGGCTGTGATTAGTATGTGCCGCGTATAGTACAGTACACAAAAAATTTTTTAGAATATTCTAAAATAAATTATAAGACCATTCATATCTCAAAAGTTTCCTTATGAAACCGCCCTTTGTGTTCTAAGTAAATTATTCCTTGCGAAATATATCATACATGTACTATACATATTGCACATGCTATACATGTTCTGAGTCATTTCACAATTTAGGTCGATTCCGAATTGCCCTAGGTCATTCTGGAATTTTGAAATGACCTAGGTCATTTCTCAATCGGTGAAATTTTTTAAAATTTAAAATTATATGCCCAGCGATAAATTATATAACCCAAGCAATAATAATTATATTATTAAAGTTCTTTTGCGTGAAAAAAACAAATTTTACATAAAGATAATCAAAAACTTATTAAATTCTTTATAATAAAATTAGAAAAATGGTTTAATGCTCCAAATAAAATAAAAAAATTCGTATAAATAAAAAACAAAAACACAATAAAAAAAATACACATTACAGGACAAATTTGCGGCCCCAGGCCGTTTAATCGTATAAAGTTCAACGTAAATAATTTTAAAATTATATTACCTAATATTTAAATTTTCGATCAAAGGTTTCACACGTTAAAAGTCGTAACTTTCCATTTTAAAAATTAATAAGAAAAAAAGTTGTATTTATCGATAAAGTTAAACATTAGAAAGGTTTATTTATTTTTTAATTTTGTTTTTTGCATTAATTAATTTGACATACGTAATAATTCTGGGTTCTAAATTTTTATTAAGTTTTGGGATCCCTTTCCTGAGTATGAGGTGTGACAAAGAAGTACTGACTAATTTATTTATACAAATAAATTAGCTGGTGCTTATTTGTCAACAGATGATTGGTCACACCCTGATCCTTAAATTTCGTAAAAATTGACCTGGGCTATTTCTGAATCGGTGAAAATTTAGGGAATGACCTAGGTCAATTCGGAATCGACCTAAATTGTGAAATGACTCAGAACATACACACTATACGCACTATACGCACTATACGTACTTTACGTACTGTACGCTAAAAAAATTCGGATATCATATAAATGGCACATCATTAACTGTGATGCCAATCCTTGATTTAACCAATCGAAATATTTGTTGATTGATTTGCATTTCTACTTTATGTATTGTTTTTGTTTGAATTTAAAATAAAGATCTGTCCGGCTACCATTTTTGAGGGCGAATCTAGGGTCGTCATCGTATGCGCATCGATTTGATTAGTAAACTTTATGCAAAATCTATTAAAGTTCAATAACGGCCGCTAAATTTTTATAGTGCTGGTATTGGGCTAATCTTGCAATTGCACAGGCACCATAAATTTTTCATTTTCGCAATTAAAAATTAAAAAATTGAATTCCGACCAAAAATTATGTATAATCCAGTAATGCGGACAATAAGTTTGTTGATCACCGTCGTTGGCCATTATTATTGTTCGTCATGAAACCTATTCTTCCTACAGAAGTAACAACTTCCGTGGCCAACAATACATACATGCACAGCTCTGTAGTACAATATGGGGTGAGGTCACTAAAACAAGCCAAACACATGTCACGTGAGCACAAATTGACGAGCATAATGAGCTTTAAAGGTTTGACATTTTTGGGTGTGGTGGGGGTACCAGACACAATGTCGAGCGGAAAAAATCAAAAACAGACCAAGGAAGATTATCTAGTTACTCAAATACTACTTCAGCTCACGATCGGAGACCTCCTGAAAGGTTCAGTGACTCACAATAATTTCCCGCCCTGTAACTTCGTTAACAAGCGAGGTCAATCAAAATCGAGGATCAATCGCGCATTTTTTGTGGTTTAATGAATCCCGCGCGGGATTTTTGGAGAAACCGCATTTGACATCTCTAATATACTGTGAGTTAGAAAAGTCTCTAAAACAGATCTCTTTGTTTTTTTTTTAGTGATCTTATGTAGAAATTATGATGATTATTATGTCATAATTTTTATATAAGTTCGCTAAAAAAAGGACTCTTTAGCAATACTTAATCCGAATATAAAAAACATTATTGCTGCATTACAACATGATTGTCATTTGAAAAAACTTTGCAAATTTATCTTTTTACAAGTGTTTTCTGTGTTCGGCTAAGTCGAGAGAACTTGATTCTGTGTTTTATATCCCCTCCTTTGAGGAGGGCAGATTTGACTAAATCATATTGATTTTACGACATAAAACACTCGTATTTAAGGTTCATTCATTATTTAAACCGGGTCTTTTCGGATAATTACAACTTCAAAACTTACTTCGAAACTTCTTGAAATGTTAACGACTAGCAAATTCTATATATAAATACTTAAAAAATTTTTACTAAGAAGGGGGAAGGTCTGAAGAAAGGGGTAATGTATAACACAGAATTATGTAAAACACAGAATCAAATTTTTCTCGTCTAATTGCTGTTCGGGACTTAATTCATATCCATGTTAAAATTTTTCATTTATAAACTAGCACATGTACTTTGTTTTGTCATACCAATATGAAAAACTTTGAGAATGTCAGGTTACACTAAAGATTCGGATTTTTCAGTATATTTAGACATTCGTCATAACGGCTTATATCCGTTAAACTCCATTTATTTTCCCTTTTGTTAATGGAGGTCTCTAATTTCAGTCGAAGGTCATGAAACTACTGTATATCTGTAAATGTAGAAAAAAGAATGTGTAATACATAACGATAAAAGATCGATTCAAACATAAAAATAAAAAATAACAAAGTATGTTAAAAGAGCAATTTATTTAAATTACTTTTATCATTATAAATATAAATACAATTATTATAATTATTATGCTGAAGTTGGGGGTCTCCATTTAAATATATAATACTTTCTAAAATTCACTTGTACTCTCTTATTAATAAAACTACCCTTAAACCCTAACCTAACTCTAAAAAAAAGCTAACAAAAAAGGTCCAAAAAATTTTAAAATTTAATATTAAAATATTTCAAAATCTCAGCTTCAGCTGCCACAATTATTATTATCGATATTACAGGTCAGGTTTGCAAACCAATTTCGCTCACACAGACCTTTTAAATATTTACTAATTGGTATTTATTATGTGAGTACAAAATTGGTATGCGAAACCTGAAATACATACGTAATTATTGTCACATTTGATGCTGACTTTGGGTCCTCAAAATTATACTAGGTGTATTATACAGTTGCCTCCGAAAGTTTGTCACGGTTACACAAAAACAAAAAATAACATACCAAAAATTTATGCAATCAACGATATTAATATATTTCGCAAATTAATATAATATTAATGCATAATGATACTTGATCGATATACAGTAAATTAAACATCAATAGCTAATAACTACAACCATAACCATTATTGCATAAATTTTTGTTATGTTTTTGTTATTATGTTTTTCGTGTAACCGTGACAAACTTTCGGAGGCAACTGTACATGGTCCTTTTTAAAAAATAACTTTATATATATATATCACACAATGATGACCACCGTGGTCTCTATATACTGGATGCTTCATTACACGGTCCCTTTTTTTAAACTTTATATATAAATATCACGATAATTCATCGTATATATAACTGTATAAAGTCACTTAAAAAAAAGGGACCGTATAGTGGAACTTCTGAAACACCCGGTATAAAGTTATTTGAAAAAGGGACCATGTATAGAAACTTTTGATACACCCGATATAAGTTTTTTGTGATGCCTTTTTTTTTATAACGGGTGTTTGATAATTTCCTGAGCAGGACCTTTTATATCTTATTTAGTATTAATTTTTATTAGATTAAAGATTATATAACGATTATTAATTATTGTATTTTTTTTATATAGTATAGTAATTTAGTGTTTAAAAAAAGGTTCTATCCAGGACGTATCAAATATATGTGGGTTTTACCGACAAGTTTTTTTAAAAACTTGCATTAACCTTAACACTAATTCTAATCTGACCCTAACGAAAATGACCAGAATTACTTTATCGGTGAAGTGGATTAAACTTGAAGTGATTGTCAGTGAAATGAGCACCATCTCTTGCAACGTATATTCCGTTTTGAAATTGCGATTACATATCTAAAAAAAATAATAAACTTAAGTTGAAAGAATTCTAAAATCTTCTTTGACATTCTTGGCTCGAGAGCATTGAACTAATATTGGAAGCTTATATTAGCCAGAAAAAAATAAGTATCGTTTGATGGATGAGAGTCAATATAAGAACGTTTAAATGTATTGATAAATTCTAATTTTCAATATAGCCCAAACTTTAAATACAGCGTTACTTATACCTTTAAGATACTATTATACATCGACGCAGTTGAAGAGCTTCATTTTGTCAAAAAGACACAAATAATTTGGAAGTGCAAGTTTGTGTAGTCGAAAATTTTTATGGAATAATTTGTAGTTTCAAAGGAATAATTGTAAATACCAAAGATTCTTGTCGAAGAATAATTTGTCATGTACGTACAAGAAAAAGCAGATGTCTATGCAAAAATTTCTCATTTTTGGGATACCTAATTTCTCCCTACGGTTCTGATTGGACATTTGTAAATTTCATCTCTGATTGGACAAAGACCATAAGATCAGTTGTAACTAGTGTCAGAGGTAAAACCGACATCTCATGGAACCTGCGAAATGGACGTCATTGTGGCATACTTACCTAATTA